GTAAGCCACTCTGGGTGCATCTATACATGCATTTTACTGCAGAGTGGACTAATTAACTCCACAGTAAAACATCACATGTGTGCCTGTATTGGGCCTCAGTAAAATAATTAACTCTGCTGTAAGATAGTACTGTCAGGACAGTACTATCTTATGGTGGAGCATAGTTTACTGTGCTGACATGCACGTGTAAATGCTGACCATGGGCATAAGATGCACCCTCTCAGCCCAGCCAGCTAGGAGCTTGCTCTACCCTGGTTCAAATTGCTGCTGTCCTCGATGCACACGTAGATGCTGTACCTGGGAGCAGTTTACTCCAGTGCAAACTGCTCCAGAATTTATTGTATCGCATTATCTGCACATGTAGGGTATACCCTCTCAGTGCTTTTTTTTTTTCTTCCAGAGAATGTGAATTTGTGATCTCAGGCTCCATCCCTTGACTAGGAAAAAAAAGTTACTTACTAGTAGCCATAATTCTCTAAATGGGTATCCTCCTCTACAGATCTACACTTGCTTATCTTTGACCTTTGTATCCTACATTTTTATTTCCTACCTGAAGTCTGTGGAACTGAAGTGGGGATGGAAGACCAATACATTTTCGTAGGTGGAACTCTGCAGTTCTCAGCGCAGGCGTCAATTCAGGCACATGTTTAAGCAGTCTAGAAATTTACATTTCAATGTCTCCCGAGGTCCATGAGGAGGCACATCCAGAGAATGTGTTCTCACACATGCTTATCCAGAAGGTATGGATCTGTGGAGGAGACTATCTATTTGGAATCTTGAGTTATTGGTAAGTAACCTTGTTTATATTATGTGTCCAGTGTATGAATTAAAAATGAATTAATTTCTTCTCTGTTCTAACAGAATCTATGTTGGTTTCTCAAGTTTGCAAAACTGTAAAGTCCCATAGGTCAAAGTCAGCCCAGTTACTGTCTGTTCTACAATTATAAATATATTGAGTGTGGAAAGTGTGTCAGATGAGAGCAAAAATAGGATGTTCTGTACTGCACTGTTTTAGTTTTTCCTTGGGATGCTTGAATAGATTAAGAATCTTAACTTTACCTAATTTTTGCCATTGGGGCCAAAAATAAAATGTGCATCCTCCAAATTAGTTCTAAGAGGGGCAGAATTTGTACTGACTTTGAAAAACCTACCATTATCTAGGAACTTGATCTATTCTGTAGATTGTATTTTGATTCACATTCTCTAAGCCTTATAGACACCATTTTGTTTCTTTCTTGCTCCAGGTTTTTTAATAATGTTGAGAGAGATCCCCAAGAGGTGTCGAGCCCAGCACCATGCTGTTACAAAGTTATATAGGCTAAGTAAAGGCACTCAAAAAGCCTGAGGCAGAATTGATTCAATGTAGGCAGCTTCCTTTAAGCTGTGTAGGTTGAACTGATAACCAACTGAACTGACCTTCAGTTTTCAATTGGGAAAGATGGGGGAGGCCTGCACTGATCCAGGCAAGTAAGCAGGGGGGTGCTAGAGCACCTCTCCCAGCCTTTTGGCCATTGCCAGGCCAGACAAGTGTTCCAGATTTGTGTCTATAGTATATGCTCCCAGTTCCCTGCTGTCCCCCTACAGGGGGTTGAGGAGCCCCCTGCCCAGTTGCTGGCCTGCCTTGGGGGAGCCTCCCCCTCAAGAGATCTCTGCCAGCCTGGGTTCCCCAGCCCAGGGAGCTGAGGGGAGCTCCCATCATCCCCCTTCCCAGAGGCTGATTGCTTCAGTCGCTGCCCCAGGAAGGAGAGAGAAGGAATCCTCCCAGCCGGGTGCCTGTCCTTGTAGCCCAGCGTGCTACATGGCACTGGCACTGGGGAGCCCCTGCCTTGGGGGCCTTCTTCCCACCCCAGCTCAGGGTCCCCCAGGGAACTAAGGGGAATACTTCCCCTCCTGAACACCAGAGCTGCTTGCCTTAGCTGCTGCAAGTCTCAGGGACAGCTTGTGGCAGCCTTGAAATGGAGGGAAATTTTTCCACTCCCCTGCAAAAGGTTTTGTCTCAGACTCGCACTAGCTCAGGTAAAACCCACTTTAGAGGAGCAGGAGAATTTCCTTCCATTCCCTAAGGCTACCCCGGGCTATCTCAGAGACCCACTGCAGCTAAGAGAAGCAGCCCTGGGGTCCGGGAGAGGAAGAATTCCCCTCAACTCTCTGGGGCTTCCCCAGGCTGGGGTGGGGGGAAACCCCCCAAGGTAGAAGCTCCTGGTGCCCCTATGTTGGGCTGCACGGGCAGCCACCCAGCCCAGATGAGGACTCCTCGCTCCCTCCTGTGGTAGCGGCTGAAGAATAAGCAGTGGGGAAGGGGGAGGGAGAGGGCTGCTGAGGATGGAAAAGGCCCCACCACATGGGCTTTCCCTCCCCCCATGTGCTGTGTAGACCCTGGCTAGGAGGGTCTGGGGGTCTGTTCTCCTGTTCTGCCCAGGCCATCCCTATGGGCTGATGGATGCAGGCAGGAAGCAGGCTAATGAGCAGAGGGACAAGGCAGTCCCTGCTCCACTGGAGCAGGCAGCATAACCCAGGGTGGCGGAGAGTCAGCTTGAACCAGGAAGGGGTCTGGGACAGAAGTTCCATAAACTGGTTTGACCTAAATCTGTTAAGTCCAGCCAGGTTTATCTTCAACCAATTTTGGCCATTTTGAAAGCTGTTTATATGCACTGAACTTCTGTTCTGTTGCAGGTTTAAACCAGTTTCTGATCAGTTTGTGTGTAACTTCTGTCCCTAGCTGCACTGACATGGTTCCTTGGCAGTACTCCAAGTTATGGCAGTGAAATTCATACAATGACAGTATAGGGCCCATTGTGATAACAAAGGCATGCAGCCTGCCCTTAGTAATGAAGACAAATATTTTATCATCCTGGTAAGCCTCCCAGTGCTGTTTAATTTTACTTGGATGGTGGGCATCCTAGTAGAAACATCCATAGCTATAACACCTACAGTCAAGTCTCGAGAGATGAAGAGTTTTTTCTCTTGAAGTCAGCTATACTCATTTGCATATACAACCTGATTGACTTTTTTTATCTTGCATAAAATTAAATGAAAAATGAACTACCTCATCATATGGTAGCTGAGATATAATCATAATCCAGGATCTTTCCTTTTTTGAAGTACTAGCCAATTTTCCATCAAGAATGATGAGGGGGAGGGTCGGGCAGGGACTTAGGCCTGCGTCCCTTCCCCCCTGCCTTGAGCCAGGGCTGGGGCCGGGGCCAGGTCCATTCCCCCTCTACCCCTCCTGCCTCTTTGGACCGTAACCCTCCCGTCCTGTTCCTGCTCCCCTCCATCCCGTTTCCTGCCACCTCCCCTCCCTGCTGGCTCTTGTTTGGATGGGAGGGGGTGCCGGCCCCTGGCTCCAAGGACAAGACTTGAGGGGGGGAGAGGCCAGCAGTATTGGCCTTGCCCCCCCCTCCCCGTCACCTCCGTTATGGCGGTGCTCCAGTCCCTGTCGTTCCCCTCTGCCTCCAAGGAGCAGGGGAGGGGAGTCCCTGTCATCTCCTTCTGCCGAGACAGCCAATCAGAGCATGAATAAAACTTTATGGACAGAGGGACAGACTTGGGCTTTTATAATATTAGAATTTATTACTGATTGGTTTATTGTAGCATAAATCTTGTCTCATGTTTTCCTTTTTCTAACTGAAAAATCAGGTTGTTTTTGGTGTTCTATTAAATATAGTCTAGTGGTGATATTGCTCAACTCCCAGCCTGTATGCTAAAAGACAGATTTAAGCAGCTGTGAAAGAATCAACTGGAAGGTTGAGCTGTCAGTCTAGAGCAGTGGTTTTCAGTCTTTTTGGACTGGAGGCACCCCTCATTGAACTCAAGGCACCCTTCCATTTCATGTGAATTGAGTTGCATCCAGTTTCAAAAACTAATTTATAGATTACAATGCTTGATTCCTTGCAGACTGACCTGGCAGTGGGAATGAGGGGTTGTCTGGGCAGGGGTAAGCCTGAGCCTGTGTGTATCTGCTTAGTTCAGTTGCTTATCTCCTAATGCTTCACTTATCTCCTCACAGCTCACAGTACCCTTCAAAAGGCCCAGTGGCACCCCAGACACCCTGGTTGAGAATCACTGATCTAGAGAGAGAAAAAAATTAGGGTTGGGATTCATTAGTGAAATATATATATATAAAGTTTTAGTAGCAGAATTATACATTAAAATCCCTTGTAACCTGAGATCTGTTCAAACACTTTTTCATTCTTTTTCTTTGTGAATCAAAGTACATACTCATTAAGTGTAATAACTCAAGTTTTGCACAGCAAGCCTGGTGTTATATACGTATAAATTTGAAATCCCTAGGTGGATTTAGACCTTTATTTTCATTTTAATTTTCAAAGCTGTTTACAAACCAACACTTGTTTAGATTTATGCTATCATATTATTATAGTTATTATTATTAGCTCTCAAATAGGTACCCTGAACCAAAATCTAGTAAATAAGATTGGTGCCCAATAAAGTTAAGTATTGGTAAACACAGAACTTTCTAAATACGTTTCATAATAAAAAGCAAAAATGTATTAATTTGATATATTATATATTTTATTTGCCTGTTGTCACTTGGTAATGGAAGAAATTTTAAATTAATTCCTGCGATTTCAGTATAATTACTCAGGTAAAAACAAATATATGTTTATTTCCCTTTAACTTAATACAAACAACTGGAAAAAAAAGCTGGGTGGCTTGTTTTGAAACCTTTTTTCTGAGCATAAAAGGAAGTATCTATACCTGAACATTGAAGTAACTGATCAAGTCACACAAAACTAAAAAGCTTTATGAAATTGTAATTTATGTTCCATTTGCCTGACAATTGAGTGTCAAGCATTTACTCTATTGCTCTTAAAATCTTCATGTTATGATTTCTGTGATACTGAAAGTGTAGTTTAAAAGAGTTTAGAATATCTCCAAACAATTTATTTCAATTTATTTATATACTGATTCCTAAGACCTGGATAAATGTTGGAATTTTCTCATTACCATTTAAATTAATATAATTTCTTATTACACAGGAAGTCCTGCATGTTGCAGGGGTGGAAATGCAGTTAACAGCTGCTGTTTCATTTTTGACTATTCTGCAAGAGGAGTCAGTGTCCATTCATACCTACTCCCACTCCTTCCTACACATCATTCTACAGAATGTGGAACACAGGGATTCAGGTCAGGGTCATGGTTCTGTGCTGATGACTAATTGGTTCTATGTGCGTTATGTTTCCTTAGTGACTGTACAGTACTATTTCAAGCAATGCATGCAATCACTGCCAGTTTGTGAGTTTAATTGATAATGTTTTTAAAATGACATAAAATATGGAAGGTTCTCAGTATAGAGCATTACTTACATAGCTTTAAAGTTTCCTTCATTTTACTGTAAACAAATATCTTCCTTTCTGTTTGGAGAAGCAGATCCTGAAGTTCTTGCTCAGTCTGAACTTCCAGTGAATAAAGTGAACTCTGCCTTAGTAAGCAGAGTGTAAAGGGTTGCAGTATTTCTCTAATAATGTAAAGATTCAGGGAAGCTATTTTTTAAACATATATTATTTTCATAATACAGGAAAATAAAAAATCTTTTGTAGCAAAAAAGTTAAATTAAGTAAAGAAATCACACTTCTTTTCCTAAAAGAAATCATACGATAATTCTCCTGTCGTCTTACAAAAAATTGTGGCCAAAACCTGCTTTTCAGATGAGTAAATGCAAACAGGTAGAATGTATGTCTTTTTCAGTGGTGTTATAACATCAGATGGATAACTGATTGTAGAAATGAATGCATCATGCCAGAAGTGGTTTCATAAAACTGACACACAACATAATATTGAGTCTGTCTGCATCTCACAGGTGTCAGCAATGCATGGCTGGAGACTCTTCTTGCTGTGATAGAAACATTGCCAAAAGAAACCATCAGACATGAGGTAATGATTCCCCCCACCTTAAGATGCATTATTGGAGAATAGATCAAATGTTTTCTTTTAAATGTTCATATTGTTAGAAGTGTGGAAAATCGGTGTGTCCTATTTACTTCCATAAGATTAATGATGAGTCAGCACGTGTTAAAATCAGGCCATATAAATATACAACGCGAATATGCTGAGGATACCTAGAAAGGTCATCTTAAGACTTTCAGCTTTGAGCAAGGAAAAATCCTAAGTGCTGTAGCATTTTAAAAATAGCTGTTCTCAACCGTATACTTTTGGAGTGCATGTGTTTCTAATTTTCAGCATGGCAGAATGTTGGTCCTCATTTACAAATAAGAGTCATTTTGTATGAATAACCTAAAACAATTTGATTTGCACTAAATACTGTAAGGGAAATTTACTGTGGGCTTGGGTTCCTCTGAATGGGCCAAATACAAAGGTCAGCCCTGCAAACACCCTAGTTGTCCATGCTGTATGGCTCTGGGGTAGACAGGAATTCTTTCCCTGGTTACTTATCAAACTCCTTTACATTCAGCTCAACTACTCAGTTTTTGTGTAGATAAAATATGGCTAATAGCCTGTAAAATCTTTGAGGTAGAGAATGTCTTTCACTGCATGTAATAAATTTATTAGCAGTGTACTATATTAAATGATAATTTGTGCAGTCATAAATGTATTCTATTAAATTGAATTCTTTTTTTATTAAAAAAAATCGTTTTTAAAGGGTGAAAGGCCAACAAACCCGAAGCGCTAGAGCCCAAAGTGTTTCTGTAAAATAGTATTTAAAATGTTGCTTAAAGGAAATATGAGTTTATTTTCTAGTTTTTTCTTACAAACTACTTAAAGATGAATTGCTCCCATAACACTCTCCCCTGTACAGAGCAATATCTATTTTTATTTTTTGTAAGTGGATTAGATTTCCAACAACAATTGTGAAAAGACTATATTTTGCTAAGTGTATTGAAGCTGGTTGGCATATTATGGGAGCTACGATCATTCAGTTAAACAGTATATTTATTTATTGTAACTTGTTTCAAATGTAACTTGTCTCATGACAGGGTATTATAATGGGGAAATGTATTCTATTGTAATTCTAACCTGGATCATCCCCTGCTCATTTGCTCATTGTCATAAAAGGAAACATCAGACTAATCTCAACATTTATTTCATCAAGAAAGACAAAATGGCTGCCTCTGCTGCACTGCTTCTGTTTTTTAATCTGTTTGTTATCTTCTACTGCGACTTTCCAAGAAACATTGGATAATAAGCTGTGGCAGAGCAGTGGAACTGAATGTCTGAGTGGGGATTTATGGACAAGAGAGAAGACAACCAGGCACATTGCATTAATTTTGGTTTCCTTCACAGATAATCTTTTGTGGTCATGGAGGCAACCATGTTATCTTTTAGCAAATGTCAGCAAAATTTCAGTAGAAGTGCTGTGACTCCCCTGCTCCACATAGAAGTGGATTCTCTTCTCTATTCATCTCTAACATATATATTAGAGGGCGAGTGTATCTTTAAATTCAGTGTCAGAGATGGTGGTTCTGGAGAAAACTCCCCAGGAAGTGTGTCAAAGGGTTTCCTTCCCTAATCTGCCTTTGTCCCTGCAAGGAATTATCTAACATCATATCAGAATTTTCACACAGAGAGGATCTTTAAATATGCTTATATAATTCATTCTCTAAATAAAAACATAAGCAGACAGATGTAAAATTATAATGACTGTAACTGTGGGGTGAATCATAAAGTAGAATTTGGACCAGAATCCAAATGTAACATGGTCAAATTAGTACTAAACATTAAAATACAGAGTTCTTAATAATCTGTTGATACGTGTGGTTTTATTGTTGGAGCTACCCTGTTCCATGGGAAAAGTAATGGCCATTGTGGCGTGTACTTCTACACTTTTTTAACAGAAAAAACATTATTTACTATTTGATTAGTTTTTGTCTTCCCATTTTCTTCATTTTAGATCCTGAATCCACTTGTTTCCAAGGCACAGCTTTCCCAAACACTTCAGTCCCGCTTAGTTAGTTGTAAAATATTGGGAAAATTAGCTAACAAATTTGAAGCTCATATGTAAGTAGATTGTATGTATGTTTTATATTTTATGAAAATTAACAAAAAATGTCTTTTTTAATGGATATTAGCAATAAAAAGAAAGGTAGATTTGCATGTCTATGAAGCTTAAATAATAGAATGTTTTTCTTTTTATAAATGCATCTACTGGGCTACTAGTTAGTTATAAACCAGGTTTATCATGTAGGCCACAGAAGTCAGAATGTTCACATCCTGCTGTTTTTCATTAGTCTCCCTATGCACATTCTTGTGTCAGTCAAGTGATGGCAATGTACTTGCAAATAAAACTTCTGTTAAGTTTTGGCTAATTTTCTTAAGATCAGCCTTTTGGAAAACTAGGTGCAGCCATAAAGCAGGTTTCCAATGTCAAAAGGGTTTGCAACATAGGACAAAAATGCTCTTTTGCTTTATTCTAAGCATTCAGGGGTCATGCGTTTCAGAGAGAGATTCAAATTTTGGGTCTTGGAAATAAAAATTCTTAGAAAAACTAATCAAACCGCTGTAATACTTCTGTCTCCATGTGGACAATAGACTCTTTTTTGGGGGGGTGGGGGCAGTGGGGGGGGGCAGGAGTAGAGAAGTGAGACTCACGATTCTAAACTTACCATACATTTATTATTACCACCAGTAATAATATTTGCACATACTCAGATAAAGCAGTACAAACAGTTACTAATCAATTACCTTGTAATTCTAGATTCTGTTCATTTTATCCAGTGGATACTTCTGGAAGAGTGCCAGTCCTTACTCATCATTTGATGTCTTGTCTGTCCCAAATTAAAGTTAAGCTTCAGGTCATTTAAAAACCTGTTAGTATGAGATCAAGGAATCTTGACAGTTTTTACGATGATTTCTGGATGCTCTGAAACATTAAGACCCTCCTACTCATTAACAGATTAATAGAAGTATTGGCAGTGTGTTATTAAATATTTCTGAAATCTTCCCAATACTGGTAGACTTGAAGATCCCTTTCCTTTACTAGACCTATTTTGAAAACAAAATTAGGGAAATAATACAGCAGCCTTGATCCTGGCTTTATAGTTTAGAATCGTGTAAGGGTTACACCTGGATAATGTATGACACCTAAGCAGTCTCCATCTAGTGGGATCTTTCCAGCAGGCTCATAGTTAGGAGCCATGGTAAGTTGCAGGATTGAACCTTATGGAAGTGTGTCCTCACATTCCCGTAGCTTTAATTCTTATCTTAATTTCTGTTTTCTGACTGGTTTCAGCTTTCCTTGTGGAAATTGTACTGTCACCATAGTCATATTTTCCCTCTCTCCTTTAGTTGCTGGGGTGTTTGTATATAAATTAATGCTTCAAAGTTTTGGTTATGATAGAAGGTCCGTGAAATCACCTTCTGTTTAGATAACTAGATTCTAAGAATTTTCTGAAGATAGCTTGTTCTCAAAGCAATCTTTTGAAGTAAAAAACTTTCAAGAAATTGCTTGCTCTCTCTTGTTCTTGGAGACATTGGGTCAAATATTTGCTGTAGGAAGACATACCATCTATTGGAATTGATCATGGCAGTGCACATTAAAACCCTGTCGAGGCTAAATTTGCCCTGTTGAGTTGAGAAATTTTGAATTGGGATCTGTCTTCTGGTACTCTTATTGTTAAATTCTGAAACTGTGGGAACAATTCATCACAAACATAATTTGGATATACAGTAGTACATTTAGATCAGTGGAAGAGAACACAGCAGATGGATCCACCTGCTTTTCAAAAGTGTTATCATTAAAGCCAGATTAAAAATATTTAATCTATAATATTCAGAAATAGTTACCAGATGAGATCATTTTCCTTAGGAACTGAACTTTCATTCTGACCTCTCCTAAACTTCAGTGTCACTATCCTGTTTTATTTTCTTCCATTTTAAAGCATCTCTTTTTCAGGATCCATATTCTTGCTAGAGGAATAGGACTACCACAAACCCTCGTGCTGCATCTTTGAATTTATTTTAATATTGGTATTGCTGTAGCATCATTCAGGATTGATGCCCTGTTGCAAAAACATAAGATGATGTAGTCCCCCACCTTGCATACAAATAAGTTAATCTTCAAGACTTTCTTCCCAAAATAGCACTAGTTGCCATATCAGCCGGAAGATGTCTTTTCCTTCTGCTTTCTAAGAAGATTTTTGGTTTCTTAAATGATATCTAGAATATACACAGGATTTCTTTTTTATGTATCTATCAGAATGCCATTTTAAAACTCCAAAGGCTAGGGACAGACATTACACACAAACCGGTTTAAGTGATCAGAAGCTGGTTTAAACCTGTAACAGAACAGATGTTCACTGCACATTAAACCAGTTTGAAAATGGCTGAAACCGGCTTGAGATGAACCTGGTTGAATGTAGTATCAGACTTGACTGATTTGGGTCAAACTGGTTTATGCAGTGTCTGTCCCAGACTCCTTACTGGTTTAAGTTAAATCAGAGGCCCCCAGCATCCCGGCATGGTCTCTGAACTGGGTGGGGCTCTCTGCTCCACAGCAGAGCTGGGCCCTCTTCTCTGCTCCCTGGCTGCAGCTCTGGCAGAGACTGCAGGTGCCTGCCTGGCTTTCTCCTGCTTTCCTGCCCCCCTCCCCTCCCCCCCCCC